CCAGGGGTGGGCAAACTTTTTGACTCGAGGGCCACAATGGGTTCTTAAACTGGACCAGAGGGCCGGAACAAAAGCATGGATGGAGTGTTTGTGTGAACTAATATAAATTCAAAGTAAACATCAATACATAAAAGGGTACAGTCTTTTTTTTTTTTGGTTTATTCATTTCAAACGGGCTGGATCTGGCCCACGGGCCGTAGTTTGCCCACGGCTGGCCTAGCCCATAGTGATTTCTTTGTGTAGCTATACACCAAATCTCTTTTTAGCAGCCTAGGTAGCAAGGATTCCTTTAGTGCTTAACAGGGATATTAATATATCAGATTTTTTTTTAGTTGTCTTTGCAGAACTGATCATACAGATCTGTCAGCTCAGCTGCTTCCTGTGCTCTCTTGGATCATGCCATTTGGAAGTTGGTAAACAATGACTCCTTTTGAGGTCATTGACTTTTTTGGGAGGTGGAGTGGGGTGAGGAGTGTATTGACTTCTGAGGTTTTAGGAAAGTTGATACTTTACTAACTCCTTACTATCTTAAGGGGAGGCTTTATGAAAGCTTATATATATATGCACTAGAGGCCTGATGCATGAAGATTCGGGCAAGAATAGGCCTTCCTTCCCCTGGCTGCCGGCACTGACTTTGCTCCAGCTGGAGCCACCTTCCGCCTCTCGCCTTGTCGCATCAATTTGCATATTCCCTCCTTATTGGCTGTGGGTGCTGCCATCTTTGTCGCAGAGTTACAGTCAATTTGCATATTCCATCTTTATTAGATAGGATTTTTTTCCCTCCTATAAATAGGAAAGGTAAATACTATATCTTCATGAAGCTCCTCTCACACGTGTATTGAGTGTTTTTTCTGTAATTAGATGGACTCAATTTCTTGGCCACTCACTTTCATAGCTGTGTGTTTGTTTTCATGTATATTTTGCTTTTACCCAGTATTTTGCAAGTTTTCAGCCTCTTACCTTTTAATATGTAAAAAATAAATGAAAGCAAGGTTTTTATGCCAATGTGGGAGAGTCTACATTTTACTCTTGTTAGATGTTACATACATGTAATGCATACAGTGATTATTTGCAATAGATCGGTATCTTGGGGAAAGGAGTTAGTTTATGCATTCTGTGAAGAAAGTGAAAATCCTAAGTTCAAAATGAAGTTAAATATACCTTAAAAAATCTCTTAAGTCACCCAGAAAATATGGCATGCGTGGCGAAGGTGCACAGGCCCATGCAGTAATTCTTATGCCACTGCAGTTTGTGATCCCCTGAGCCAAGTCCAAGGGTGGCAGGGTTTTTGGAAGAGATCTGGGTCATCAGACCACTGTGCTTTCATGAGAGTTCCTAGTGTGGAGTGGGGACTGGAAAATCCAAGCCTGCCCTTGCTGTGTGCAGGTTTTACACCATCCCATTGTGCTTTTAACACAAAAACTCCTTATCTTGACACTTGTTCATAGGTTTACTGTTTTGGAGGTGACTAAATGAGATAGTACACATAGGAGTCTCTAATGCAGCACCCTGCAGGGCCGCAGCAGATGCTCAGTAAGTCTTCAGTGGGCTGCTGCTGACCTAGCTTGATCCATTCCACTGTCACCTCTCTGAGCAGCTTTCCCTCTCTCAACCCCTTATCTGACTTCAGATACATTTCTGTGAATTAAGTCATGAATAGTCAAGTTACCACAAGATGATGTCAGATCATTTCAAGTAATGCCAGGTAGGGGGAGCCTCAGCACAATAAATCCTTACTTTTAAACAAGTTCAAACACTTGCCTTTTATGTCATGGTATTTAGCTGTTGTCAACAAACCTCTGATGTTTTTTCCCATTCTCATCTGTAAGCGTGAGGCTCATGACTATCCAACTCCAAAAGTAGTTGCATAGGAAAATGACTCGAATCTTGCAGATGATTTTACTGGAATGAATAGTTCAGGATCTTTTGTGTTTGGTTAATAAAACTTCCATTTTACTTTTGCTATTCGTAAGCATTATCTAACAGGTGACCACTTATTTATTTTACAGTGGCCTCTCTCCACAATTTTTATTCCCCTCTTATTCCTTAGTCTGATTTATTTTCTTCGTGTGTGTGTGTGTGTGTGTGTGTGTGTGTGTGTGTGTGATTTGTTCCCCCAACTAACATGTGAACTCTCTAAGTGGCTGCAATTTTGTTTATTTTATTACTGTATTCTCAGTGTCGGGAACAGTGCCTGGCATGGCAGTTACTTAAAAAACTGTTGAATGAAGAATAAATAGAGTTTTCTCTATTATTTAAACTGAAACCCTTTGACTTAGTAAGCAAATATAAGAATTATGTAAAAGTGTGACGTTTCTGAGTTTATTATACTCTAGGAATTTCCCTGATAACTAAGTGAAGTAATAAGGATTGAAGTAATAAGTAATAAGGACCTTGATCACTGCCCTTCTCTAGTGATTATATGTGCAATCTCTTTCATAATTTAGTTCAGTAATCTTCCTACAACTTACATTGTATGTACAATATTTGGTCAGGATGTACTGATGAGTAAAAAATGAGCAAACTAGTACTGTAGTAAAGGAAGTACTCTCACTTTACATTAGTGTGAAAGTTCTAGTACACACACATACACACACACACACAATTCAGGGCATCTGTGTATCTCAGATATTGCCTTTGCTTCACGGGTGCTGTGTAGATGATGTAAGGTCCCTGGCTGAGGAACAGAACAGCTAAACCCAACCATTTGTAGTGGACATTATCTTCAGGAAATACTGAAGGCTAAATTTTGAGAAAGCAGTCATCATAATTTGAGCATTTTCTTCCCAGAGCAAAAATGAATGAAAGAATGAATAACTATTCAAAAAGCCGCTTTTGATTAGTTATCTGGATTGTAGTTGCCAGGATGGAAGTGTGAATGACAGTTTGTGGCACCGGGCATGACGAGGTGTGAGGCTGCTGAGGACTAGGATTGCTTTTCTCAGATTGGTTCCCAAACAAGAAGTAAGGTGTATTTTTCAAATTGATCCCTGAGGTCAGTCAGGTTTATCTGCCAAATCATTCCTTCATTCAGCGAATATTTGAGTGTCCACTGGCGCCAGACACTGTGCAGGTGGTAGAGATACAGGAGTGGCCGGGACAGACCATGTTCCTGCTCTCAGCCTCTGTTCTAATCCAGTGTCCTTTGGGGCCACAGGTATCTTAAAGAATGTGTGAAGGTGAAGGACCTTTTCGATAAACTCAAAGTCAGTCAATCAATGAGCCTCTTACACACACACACACACACACACACACACTCACACTCACAAGCACGCACGCCCCCAGCTGTGCATGGTGGGGGAGACCCACACTCACTGCGTTTTGCCTACTCTTTCCTGAGGTTCAGAAGACTTATAGTCCAAGTTTGCCCGGTGGAGGACCCTTTTCTTTTGCCCTCCAGCCTCTTTGCTGCTCTCACCTCCCCCTTATGATGTCTTGGATAAGACTTCCTGTACTTTTCTTTTCAGATTTGGTCACATGATAAAGCAGTAAACCTCTGGGAAAAGAGTCCAAGGGGTGCTCAGCAGGCCTGAGTCAGCCGCCAACCTGTCCTGTGGCTTTGAAGAGGTCACTTCCGCTCCCTAAATCTCTCTTTTTGCATCTGAGCAATGGAAAGGGTTGGATTTGAGTAACTGATTTGGGTGTAGGTTAAGTGGACATGGACATTGAAGGCAACAGAGCATCTCTGGGTACATTACACTCTTAGTGCTCATTAGCAGGCTGATTTTGAGAAAATTACTTACTTTATCCAAGTCTTAATTCTCACTTGTGAAAGGGATAGGTTTGAGAATTAAACTGAAAATATATACACTGCCTAGGACAAAAATGGGAGCTACTAGTAGCCTTATTATATCCACTGTGATCAAGGAATATGTGTAAACAGCTACTCACAAGTGCACATTCTAAAGAGTCAAGGATAAAAGATCACAAATTGTTCACTGCTGTGAACTATCAATGTCAACACTCCAATGACAATGGCCAGTGAGCCTCCTGCTCAACTCCAACAAAAAGAATAGTTTAACAACAACAAAAATGGAGAATCTGATTCTACCATCTTCTGCACCAAACATGTTTTCAAGCCCAGATTTCTGGCAGCAAAATTTAAACTTATAATTAATTTTATTCGGCATACCTTTCTCTCAAAGGGGAGCAGACTCCCCGAGACTGGAACTACTGTTTTGGAAGGAAGTTTCCAGAACACCAGGAATGTAAAAAAAAAAAAAAGAAATGAAATGAAAAGAAAGAATGAAACCACTCAATAAATGTGAGTTCAGCTGGTGGCACACGCAGAGGCCTGAGACGGAAGTCAGCACCAAGAGCTGGCGTGCACGGGGAGGAGAGTAAAGGAAGTACTGTCCTTCGGGGGAAATGTAGTCCATCAATAAACTGTTTATTGAGGACCTGGCATAGACTACTCCTAGGATTAGATTCCTGTGATGCTAATCCAGCTACCAGGCAGTGGTATAGGACAGTGGTGAAGGAATTCACTCTGTGTTAGGCCTGGTTGAATTCCCTGGCTCTCCACGCACTAGCTGGTGACCCTAAGCTCTTTGACCTTTATTCAGTTTCCATTTCTGAAAGGTGGGATAATGATATCACAGAACCAAGTCACAACAAAGAGGCTGCTAGGGGATTGAAACAAGACTGTGCGAGTAAAGCCTTTAGCACCGTGGCTGGCACAAAGAACACTCTTGATTTAAGGCTGGTTCAATATTGCTAGTATTAATTATTGATTAGCTTAACCTAACCTCCCCCTCTGCATCCAGGGCTAGGTTGGGTCTAAGAAAGCTTCCTCCTAGAGTTCATTCAGGCCCAGCTGTTTTTAGCCTCTCACTTACCTGGGCTGAAGTAGTAAAATGAAGGCCCTTGATTGAAAACGGGCCTTAGACATTGCTTGGAGAATATTTACTGTTCCCGCGCATATCTGTGGTTACTACAGAAGAGTTCACCTTGGTGAAAGATGGATGCTAATTCTTCTCTATGTGCTTTCTTTTAGTATCCCAACCCCATGGATAAAAATGTCATCGCGGTAAACACCGTGGAGGAAAAAAGAGGTAAGTTCTCTGAATTTACGTCACTTCATTGATCCTGATTTTTGTAAAGATGTGTGTTTGTTTGTGGTGTGTGTATAGCCTGCTACGTTTTAAACAGGTGTAATTCTATATTTGAGGTGACCGAGAGAAGAGAGCACTGAGCACTTCTAGCAGTAGAAGGCTTGCCTACTATGCTCTTGCCACTTTCTCAGTTAATAATTCACTGATGACAATTATAACATCTAACATTTTTGAGCACTTAATATGTGCCAGCCACATTTTCTTTTATTAACTCATGTAATCTTCAAAACAATGTATGGGGTAGGTATTCTGGTTACTTCTATTTAATGAATGAAGAAACCAAGGTAGAGAGAGAGAAATAACTTGTCCAAGTTTGCATGATTATATTCTGTAACATATTCATATATCATTTTAGAGATGGCAAATGGTTAATAGCATGTGTGTGAGATGTGACTGTAAAGTGATCGATTATGGCGCCATAACTGTACTTACTGTGTTTCAGTATTGACAAGAGCAAGTGATGATATATTATGCTTGTGTGGCCTGTTGTTGTCAATAAAGTTTTATTGGTACTCAGCCATGCCTGTTTGTTTATATTTTATCTATGGCTGCTTCCTGGTGACAACAGCCTAGTTGAGTTTTTGCAACAGAGACTGTAAGGCTCACAAAACCTAAAACCACCTGGCCCTTTACAGAAAATGTTTACTGACCCTGGACTAGAGTGTAAGAGTCTTTTCTCTGTCCCTAATATCTCCTGTGGAAGCGTTTTCTCTCTCGGTATTTGAACTTGAGACCTGGGCACTGCAGGGAACTATAATGATGGGCACAATCCATCTCTAAACCTTTGGAGACACTTTGCCCCCAATGTGACATGTTCCAGAGCCTTTGGAGTAAACGTATGATGGTACTTTTCATTACATGACGCTGAGGCCTCTGTGCTCGGTGAACAGAAAACTGTCTTTTGCTTGTGAGGTTATTTTCTGCACTTCCACAACTCTTATAAAAATATTAAAAAACACACATTTTCTCAGGTACCTGCACTCAGTGTGGGAGAAACTTGTTATTTGGCAAGTCCTGATTTCAAGTCCTGATTTTGTTACTATAACCTAACTTCTTGGAGGCTCAGGCTCTTCATCTGTTCAATGGGAAAATAATAAACCTGCTTTTAGGTTGTTGTGAAGATCAAATGAGAGAACAATGTGCATATTCCAGAGTGGCAAAGGAACATTAATTATAATTTCCACCATCGACCAGGGCATCTTTGCCTGTAGGAGTGGCTAATCCATTGCAGTATGCGTGCTGCAAACATTGGATGAGATGGCAGGAGGAGTGCTGATTGGCAGAGAAGACAAATCAGTCTCTTACCCTGTCAACAGCTTCCCGTCAGAAGCTTGTTTGCACCAAGGTTCAGGGCTCCTGTAGCCAGAGCCGTGAGAAACCTCCTAGGAGTGTGGCCTAGTCACAGGAATTCACAGTGCAAACGACAATGCTTCAAAGTTTATCTTTTTCTCTAACTTTTTCTGAACTCACATTTATTGAGTGGTTTCATTCTTTCTTTTCTTTTCATTTCATTTTTTCTTTTTATTTTTACATTCCTGGTGTTCTGGAAACTTCCTTCCAAAACAGTAGTTCCAGTCTCGGGGAGTCTGCTCCCCTTTGAGAGAAAGGTATGCCGAATAAAATTAATTATAAGTTTAAATTTTGTAGCCAGAAATCTAGGCTTGAAAACATGTTTGGTGCAGAAGATGGTAGAATCAGATTCTCCATTTTTGTTGTTGTTAAACTATTCTTTTTGTTGGAGTTGAGCAGGAGGCTCACTGGCCATTGCCATTGGAGTGTTGACATCGATAGTTCACAGCAGTGAACAATTTGTGATCTTTTATCCTTGACTCTTTAGAATGTGCACTTGTGAGTACCTGTTTACACATATTCCTTGATCACAGATAAGTGTATTTGGAATGATTTGGCCCAGAAAAGTGGTCAGAGACCCTAAGTTTTGAGTTAAATGTTTTGTTTGTTTTTTAAATTCTACATATAGGAAATGGAGATCGACATTCAAAGTTTTATTGATCATAAGACAAGCATACATTTCCTTAAATATTCTTTTGAGTGTAAAATTTTTCTGTTTCTAGATGTGTCAACAGGGATCATCTATAGAAAGAGGATTGCAATCTGTCGGAATGTGGTTCCAGAAATTTTAAGGAAGGTAAATTCATTTCAAAATGTTAGCAGCTTTGGTGTAACATTGGGTAATTTTCTAATAGTCATGAAAAGAGCGTTTTCTGATGGAAAGGAGCGTTAGAACTTTTCCAGTTCTCTTGCCTCATAGCCCTTCAGAGAAGAAAGGTCTGTTATATCCAGCCTCAGTTTTTACCTCCTCCTTTTCATGAACCCCTGAGGGCCTGCTGCCTGGAGCCATTTTCACTGCCTTAGAAACCAGTTTGAGGTCAGGCATGAGAAATAATGCTTAAAAAAAGATTTTTTTATTGGTTTCATAGAGAAAGCAAGGAAGAGGGAGGGAGAGAGAAACATCAACGTGAGAGCAAAACATTGACCGGCTGCCTCCTGCACGCTCCCTACAGGAGATCGAGACTGCAACCTGGGAATGTGCCCCAACCTGGAATCTCACCAGCCACCTTTCAGTGCATGGGGTGACACCCAACCAACCGAGCCACACCAGCCAGGGCCAGCCTCAGTTTTGGCAGATGCCCCTGGAGATAGTTTTTTTCCTGTCTGGTTCTGTGTCTTTCTCTTTTGTGGATGACTCTTAGTGGACATAGAGCTGGTCTGCACTTATTTTAATACCTTGGACATTTGACATCAAGTGACCATCTTTCCTTATCTGTCCATGGTTAGCTGTGACTCTTAAGTAAGAGTGATCAGAGGTGGGCAGACGGTAGATATGTTGTCAGATCTTTAGTGGGAGAGGTAAAAGCTTCAGTTCTGTTTCACTCTCAGGGAGGACTGTTATTTCAGGGAGCAGATGCTCTCGGTGCTCTCCGTAAGCCTTTTTGTGTGTGTTTCTGTAAAGTGATGGTGTTGATGATGAAATCTTCATGATAGCAAATTGTTTTCTCTCCTTGAAATTCTTCAGCACACTGGTGATTGTTGGAAAAAAAGGTAAGTGGAAATTTTAAATCACATTGCTCGAACTGTAGAGGAATTAGCGACAAGAGCCTTTTTAGAATCATTAGGAAATACGAGGAGAGCATCCTGATTCACAGTTTTAAAAATGTCTCAGATGGTTGTTTCAGCCCGGAAGTGATTCTGTGTGTGACGTGGAGCCCAGCTGGGCTCCTGCCCACGAGCTTGGAAATGACATCGCTGTGCCATCTGCAGGAAAAATGGCGGCTTCTATCACTTCTGTCACATTCTTTAGTGGAAAGAAGGGTGATATGACAATGAAAATGAGCTTTCTTTTATTTTCCAGGTGGTAAACTGTGTTGCAATTTGTGCAGCAAATTCTTACTGGCTTTTCCCGCCAAGTGCGTGCCCTGCCTGCCTTTGACCTATATACATGCTTTGAATCTATTATTTAAAAAGGCATTCAACTTTGTGTTGTATCTCAGTTCTTAAATAATTTAAGGACACCTCTGACTTGTACAGTTCTGCCTTTGCCGTTTTCCATGTCTCCTCCACTTAGGAAAGCAGACATTCCTAGGTATAGACAGAGTTTAAAATGAAGAAAATATTTTACCTGTATCGTCCTGCTCATGAGCCCATAGTGGGCCCAGTTAGAATCCGTCAATTTAAGAAGGCCATAACCAGCCCTAGAGGAGACGCGGAGGAGGGTGATAATTTGCTTAGTGCTTAGCAGTTAGGGAAATCAGGCCAAGGACTGAATGGCCTGCATAAATCCTGGGCCATTTGCACATCCTCACCAGCACTTAGTAAGGTCATAGTATGTTTGATTATCAAGGACTTACAGCCACATATTAGGATCATTTCTCCTCTTAATTATCCAAGACTGAGAGCACTTCTGGGTGCAGTCTTTATGTAGCCTGCTCTTCCGAAATTGAGAAAGCTGTCCTCCCTCTGTTGAACAGGTGAGCATTTTAAAGATACCCAATATCCAGTTAGAAGAGGAATCGTGGCTCAATCCCCAGAAAAGAAGCATGGCTATCCAGAGTCACTGCCTTACGTGGACACAGTATGCATCCATGAAGGAAGAGTCTGTCTTCCGGGAAAGTATGGAAAATCCAAATTGGTAAGATCACCTGTGTGTGTTTGCGTGTGTGTGTGTGTATGTATGTGTGTGTGTGTGTGTGTGTGTACATGTAGGTTGGGTGCAGGGTTGCACAAATGAGCACATGTATTAAAAAGCTATAATGTACACTTACAACCTATATGATCTTATTAAGCAATGTCACCCCAATAAATTTAATAAAAAGCACCTATGATTTCATACTTATAACCTCTGTTTACTTCTCACATAAATTACACATTATTAATTTTTAATCACACAGGTAATTAATGAGTAGATTTCCCTATGGAGGGAAAACGGCAGAGCTCACCTCCTTTCTGGCCACCCTGTTCAATCCTGGTGTCTTTGCCTTCTCCAGAGGCAATGAGTGTCATCACTGAGCTGAGTAATTTTCTAGACTTTGAAGAGATCCCTTTAGGTACCTACCTGTGTACTCACAAAGCCTGCATAGTATGGTCTCATATATCTGCTTTTACATACATGCTTTCATTCTGTGTGAACCATTGTGCCCTTATCTTTTTTGCTTAATTAGAATGTTTCTAAACTTTATCCATAACATATAAATATATATGTATATATATGCCATATTCCTTTGAACTATTGTATCAACTTCCACCTTATGATTACACTGTATTCTATTTAGCTTTTTCCTTTTTGACAGATGTTCTGGTGGTTTCCAGATTTCTTTATTATAAACAGTACTGCAATATTGGTAAGGCATATGATCCTCATAAATGCCATATGTGAATGTTTCTCTAAAGGAGAAATTTTAATTCTCAGGTTTATTGAGATATTATTTACATATAATAAAATTTATTCTTGCCGTGGCTGGTTTGGCTCAGTGATTAGAGTGTTGGCCTGTGGACTGAAGGGTCATGGGGTTTGATTCCCAGCCAAGGGGGCATGCACCTCGGTTGCAGGTTCACTCCCTGGCCCCAGTCGGGGCATATGTGGGGGCAACCAATTGATCTTTCTTTCTTTCTTTCTTTCTTCTTTCTTCTTCTTTCTTCTTCTTCTTCTTCTTCTTCTTCTTCTTCTTCTTCTTCTTCTTCTCCTCCTTCCTTCCTTCCTTCCTTCCTTCCTTTCTCTCTCTCTATCTCTCT